AAATCAGGTAGTGTGAGGCCTCCCACTTTGTTCTTCTTCTTGAGTAATGCTTTACTTATCCAGGACTTCTTCCCTTTCCATATGAAGTTGGTGACTTGTTTCTCCATCTCATTAAAAACTGCCATTGGAATTTGGATCGGGATTGCATTGTATTTGTAAATCGCTTTGGGTAGAATTGACATTTTCACAATGTTGAGTCTTCCTATCCATGAGCAGGGTATGTTTTTCCACTTATGTAGGTCTCTTTTGGTTTCTTGCAGTAGTGTCATGTAGTTTTCATTGTATAGGTTTTTTACATCTCTGGTTAGATTTAGTCCTAAGTATTTTATCTTCTTGGGGGCTATTGTAAATGGTATTGATTTGGTGATATCCTCTTGGAAGTTCTCTTTGTTGGTGTAGAGGAATCTCCCCCCTTTCTTTTCAGAAATGAGATGCTTGTGAAGAAAAACTTAAGGATGACTTGTATTTGGAGGTGAATATGATACTTTCTTGTCCCAATGTTCAAGTGTTTACCAAACTAGTGTTTAGAAACAGATTTTTCATGTGAATGACTTCTAAGGATTTGGTGCAATCTTACTTAAGATTTAGGGTTTCAAATGGAGTTTTGCAAAATGTAGTTATATGTGTTTTTAAAGCATTCCAGACTACTTTCTCTGTACAGGTATAATTGGGCTTAAACTTCTAAATATTCCTTAGGTGTAAAAATCAGATCCAACAAATTCATAAGTGAAGCCAAGCACAAATTCTCTTCTTTGCTAACTAATATGGCTTCAAAAATCTTACCAAAAGTTAGGAAGATGCGTCCTTTTGTGAAGGCTATGGGACTCAAGTGAAAATATGAATTAGTTCAATCTTAGCATATTCCTCCCAGAAACACTATGCTAGTCATACCCAGCCCAGATTAATCTCTCCTGATATGTTTTTTTTTTTTTTTTCCTCTCCTTTTCTAAATGTCCATAGACTTTTGGATCATGTCATAAACCTAGCAGTCTTTTAAACCAGACAATTGTTTTTTCAAGTATGTGTATGTAAAATCTACCCGCCATTGTGAGAGAGCATTTTACTTCTTGTGCATCCCACAAACATCTAACAGGATGTTGCCTATAAAGAGGATACTTCCTAAATAGGTGCTTGCTTGGTTCATAGCTTTGGTTGGTTGGTTGGCTTTTTAACTGATGTGTTCTGAGCTGCAGCTAAAGAATAAAATTCTGTGGAAGATGCTTGTGTTTTCATCCCAACACAGAGGTAGAAACAACTAGGATGAGATCAGAGGAAAAGAGCTCCCATATGGTATTACACCCACCACAGTCCCAAAGCTGTGATCTCACAAGAATCAGCTGGGACATCCCTACCTTTGATGGCTTTTTGAGGAGTTGTTACTATCTCCCAAACCTAAGTCTCTCTTTATTCTCTGGAAGAATCTTGACAGGCAGAATTCTCAAGTAGCTCTTTTATGCTTATTATTGCTGTTACCAGTAAGAACAAGATCCTTCAAATTAAACTTTATTTGTGGTTAAAATTACTCCTTGCCTTCAAGTTCCTGACCTGTCTTCCTGCCTCACCCACCGGCCTACCCCCCTCCTTTTTGTTAAGCTCCGGTTGACTTGCTAGACTGTTTCTTTAATCCTTCCTCTTGACTTCTCTTTGCTTCCTTTCTGCCCTCTCGTCTCCACCTCAAATTGAATGTACTTCCTAAAATGATATCTAGGTAGTTCTGCCATTCTATTGACTTTACATGAAAGATTAAACAAAATACATTCTAAGCAGTTTTGAACTAAAAGCGAATATGAAAGTGTTGGAATATGTACCAATATAAACATATGAAGCTTGAGACCATTTTCAAATGCAGTTAAAAAAAAATTACATCACATTCCTTCTCCTAGAAATCTTAAAGGATATAATTTACCCACTGAGTCATGATGTAATTAGATTATATTTTATTAGACATTCTTTACAAATTTAAAATACTGCTATTTTTACATGCACAGAGGAAAATCAGTTTGGATAATTATATTTAGGCATTCATTAAAATTAACCACAAAATAGGGACACTTTATTGTGTCATTTATCAACATACTTGATATGTATATCTAAAGTGCATTATGTTACAAAAAATATAGAAATTCAGCAGCACCAAGATACATTTACAAAATAAATACATCAGTCGACAAAAAAATAAATTATGGTAAATGTGATAATAATAATTGGATTAGCCTTGGCAAAAAAAGTTATTCACAATGACCAATGTGCAGTTTCATAGAGCAATGGGGGAGACAGTTTTATTCCAATGCATTTACAGTATTTACAGACAATAAATATTGCTAATACTTTCCACATGTTCACTATTACAGAATCCTGCAATATATTCTCTGAAGGCCTCTGCTGAAAATTTCAATGCCTCCTGCAAAGAGAAGGAAGGGGAAGAAGAGGAGAAAATTGGTTAATTCTCCTTACCAATGAAGAGACATAAATTAAAGGGTATAAATTAAGGAATATAGAATCCAATGTAAAAGAGATTCAGGAGATTTCTTATAAATATCTCCTACAAAAGGCACCTCTGGGAGCTACATATCTCGTCAGAACCACTGTTATGGGCAGGCTTGTGGACCAGATTAAGTGATCAATATCGTACAAAAACAAAGGGGCCTGCTTTCTAATTATGGTCTGTCAGAAAAAGGACACTCTGTGACAGTTTTCAAAGAGTTGCCAGCTGGCAAGTTTGGTGAGAGAGGGACAAATCTGAGAATTTGGAAACTGGGCTAGGGTGGGAAATCCATCATCAAATACACCTTTATTCCCCAGTGACATGTGACAGTCATGATATAAGGATTGCTTATTTCCTTCAGGTTCTCATTTGGCCAATCCCTTGCTAAGACAATAGGCTGTGGTGCGTGTAGCGAAAGTATGCAACTTTGGGTAAATGTTGGAAGGATGTGTAGTTAAACAGAGCATGTTTGGGATGATAACTGTCACGTATTTAAAAAAAGAACAGTTGCCTTCATGTCTGACTCATGGCAACCCCATGTGTGTTTGTTTTATTACTCAGAATAAGGTACCCCTTGGAGCTGACACCTTTCTAACCTTTCTGCATTCTGTGATGATAGTATCTTAAGATGGGTCAACAGACTTTTCTCTGCTCTTCTTTCCTGCTTTCTCTTCTCTCTGTGTTGTCTATTTCAGTGGATATGTATTGGTTTCTAGCGAAACAACTACAGAACGGAATTTGATTGGCTATGCCACTGCATTAACAGCCAGAATTGTGGGTAGAGTTTTACATGGCAGATATGTATGAGTGTGAGACCTAAAAAAGAGCAAATTTTTGACATTTAGGAGTTTTATGTGCAGCATGAAGAAAGAAAAGCAAGTTGAGCATCTAGCGTGTTTTAAAGTTTTAAGAAATTGACTGGTGCACCAATGGTTCTGTTTAGAATGGTGAGATATCCCTTAATTGCAGAGAAAAGAAAAGTTTAAGATTAAAATTTCAAGTGGTGGAGGAATGTAGATGGATGTTACGAATAAAACCTAAAAGACCACAAAAATCAGTACTTTTTGTACTGTACTTATTTGAAACTGTTTTGATACTAAATGGTATTTAGTGAATTGAGTTTAAGAACAACACAAGCAAGGAGAAAATGAACGATATTTTGCACAATTATGACCTCAGAAGGAAAGAAAGAAAACAAGAATAAGTTAAAGGACCAAGGATTCTTTTAATTAGATTTCATCTTGCCCAGCCTGTTTGCTTGTTATCCTTTATCCTGATTTCTTCTTCACCAAAGGCACATATTGGAATAGCAAAGTTAAAATATAACTTGATCTAAAAGTATGTATGTCTGTTTCTTGTGTGTGCATGTATGTGCATGACCACACTTTACAGTCCTACCTGAAAAGCTTTAAAAATTATCTATTTCTAAATCAATATTTACCAAAGCAAAATATGTAATTTCAATTAAATGAGTCCCACTGTATCCAGACAGACATCTCATTTGCAACATCAAAAACTCCAAAAGGTAATTTCTAAAATTTAAAGCTATATATTTCCCACTGAACTGTACATGTGAGAGAAGACAGACAATTTTAACTCAGTAGTTACTTTAAAAAAATACTACATATAATAAAGTTCATGCTTGCCATCTCATCAGATCGCTCAGACAATCATGTCATAATGACAAGGTGATAAAAAGAAGACAGTAATAAAAGATTGCTCTTTTATAAAACTTTAAAATCGTTATTCTGAAAAGATTTCATTTAAATTACAAAATTTTCAGAGCCCCATATGTTCTCATCAATACACTACTAAATTTCCCCACCTTTCCCTGTACCTTTCTGTTGGGTTGTATTGGGAGAGTGCCAACATCTGGCTGCCAAACAATCAGCGCTTTCCATGAATGTCCCTCACAACCAAGGAACAGAAAGGAGAAGCAGAAACAGTCTAATTTTTTTATTTTTCAGTCCTAAGTCTGGATTTGATTAGGCCACTGCTTAATTTTTACTAGACCTACTTTAACTTAGGGGCAGCTTTGGGCATAAGAATTGACAAGTGCTTATTTTCGTTAATTCTCCAGATACTTAAGAGCACTGCAAATTATAAATGAATAAAATCCTTAGGGAAGCATTTATACGTCTATAACTTACTATAACAGTTACTTCTATAATTTACTATATATGTGTGTATATATATGTATAGAAAGATAATGAATAAAATCAGATTTTAGCAAAAAGTAGAGTCCTTGCATCAGGTATAAATATATATTAGGATCACATCTTCAGATACACTGAAGATATACAGTGAGCCAAAATTTATAGGGTTTGCTACCCGTTATAGGGCTGTTAAATATTTGCAGTGAATAGGTCATTTATTGTGCTAAAGATTTCTCTAATGCCATTGCCCATTGACTACTGAAGCTGTACTTCAATTGTATCTAATCTAATTGCCATTTTATATGCTATTTAATGATGAGTTTTGTCGACTTAACTCAAAGAGAGAAGTGATGGCAAATAAGTTCAAACTCTCCTTTGAAACATCACTCTGTAATCCTATGTCTACCAGAGTCAGTGGAAAGGACTGGAGAAGTCACAGGGGACTCTTTAAATAATGAGATCATTGGCTGCATATGATGCGTTCTTGTGCTGTTTTCCTCTTTCAAACCCCATAGAAGTGCTGTACTGAAAAGTAAAAAACAGAAAAAGATCCTATCAGTAGAAATGCATGTATAAAGAACAGTGCCAATAAAGCACTGGCCTGAGCATCAGGAAACAGGGAAATAAATTCCAGTTCCGAGGACTGATTATGTCCTTGCTCAGGTCCTTAAGAGTGGAATACCTTGGTTGCCTATCTTATAAAATGAGATTAATACTTACCCCCTTTTGCCTCACAGAAACACACACACACACACACACACATACACACAGCAGGTACCATCAGAACTAGATCTAAAAGCACTAAAATAATAAGTTGCAATTTTTTGGGTGTTTACTGTATAACAGGTTTAACTCATGTAATCTCATTTAATCCTCACTCAATCCAATGAAGTTGGTACAATTATTAATCTTCAATTTGCAGAAGAGGAAAGTGAATCTTAGAAAGACCAAGTCAAGGGTTGTGACCTGTAATAATTTTAGACCCAAGACTTGAACCTACGCTTTTCAACTCCAAAGCCAATGAATGTAATCACGACTTAATCTTTGTGTTGACGATAAACAAGCCATATAAACATGAGGTTTTATTATTCCTACTGCATTACCCTAGAAAAATTATTTAAACTTGCTAGTGAACAAATAAATGCATAAGAAAACTTAAATACTTCTCAAGCCAATACTTAAAATTTTTTAGAAACTATGATTTTTTTAAATGAGTTGGTAGGAACCAGAGTTAAATCTGTAAGTACGAATGGCTCAGTAATTTTTATGGTAAGATATTGTTCTACAGTGTTTCTAGGTATTATCAAAGCAAAAACCTTTCCTGTTCTCTCTTCAAGTGAAAAAAGTAAGAAACGAAAAACTATCGAAGTCTGGGAAGCTGTGAGAGTAGGAAATCAATATGCGTCTCTAGCAAATGGTGAAGATGATCACCAGCTTCTGAGGCTTAAATAGGAAATTAAATTATTTAGCAGAGTAGAAGTGCGTTGGTGTTGGGGTGTGGAATGGTGGAGAAAGAGAAATAAGTCGTAAAATGTGTGTGTCGGGGGACGGTGGAGGAGTGTTACTGCTTCTAGGTAGACAATATTCTGGGTCATCTTGGTTTTGTAAATTTTTAAATTGTGGAACAATTGATACAGATACTACAGGGGGGAAAATTCTAGGTTTGTCCAAGTCAAGGCAGAAGGAAGTTTACAAAACCCAGCTGAAAGCCCCAAGGAGAGGCTATGGGCCAGAGAAGCATTACCGTAAATTGAGCTCCAGCGATGACGATGTCGCAGAGATGTCAGATGGGTGGTCCCCTTCCAGCCCATTCCCAGCTGCTCCAGAGTCTAACCAGGCAGATCGAGTTCGCCGTTTTTTCTTTTCTTGTTCCTTGCGTTTCCCAGGCTTGCCTTTCTTTTTCTTCCCAGGTGTCTTCAGTGGCTGCTCTTTGTAAGTCTCCACCTTGTTGGTTTCCTGAGTTAGGTATCTGCCCTCATCATCAGACCCAAATCGGACAGGGTGGTTCTTTGTGTTGGGAGCAGGCTTGGAGTTAGGAGAAGCCTCTGAGGTAGCTCTGATTTCAGCTGTGTGGATTTCTGCAATCAGATGGTGAAGAAAGAATCGTCGCCGTAAATCTTGAATGGACTTCCCTTTGTCATGAAGGAGCTGATGTTCCGACACAGCTCTTTTGCTGTAAGGAAAAATATCAGGAGTGGAAGAAAATAAATTGTAGTTGTTGACAGAGACAATAAAGACATGAGTAAACTCCTTTAGTTTTCTAGCTGGTCCAAATACAGGGTACGAGCTGCAATAGTAGCAAGCTCACCTTAGCGGGGAGGGTTTGAGAGTGGGAAGGCAAGAGTGGGCAGTTAGGAAGCTCTGGTTCTCAGTTCTTTCCTTCACTAGGTGTGTAACCTTGCCAAGAACATGAATATTCCTGGGTCTTATGTGCCTCATCTGTACCAAAGGACGGAGTTGGATTCAGTGATTTCTATACTCCCTTCCAGATCTGAAATGTTATGATTCCATTATGTTATTAGAAATAGAAACCACTGAGCTTTTCTTCACAGAGCTTTTCAGAGTTCTGTTGAGGAAATAAATTCAGAAGTCCAAGCTCAGGAAATAAAAAGAAGGCTGATTTTACCTGAGTGCTTTCCCACCCCCAAACACACACACACACCCCCCACGTTAAGAAAATAATAATAATAATAAATCTCAAAGAGCAGCAGCAAGCTATAAGAGTAAAGCAAACAAAGGCTGAAGGATGAAGTGAGCAGTTAAGCCTGTCTAGGAAACCACTTGACTAACAGACTGAATTTTAACATGATATCAGACTACCAGCTACCAAGAACCTATATTTGAAGACTAACTGTAAAGTAGCGGGTGGTCTCCTTAAAATGTATTTCTTTGTGTGTTTAAATTAAATCAGATTCTATTCAATGCTTCAAGTTTTGTTTTTTTTTATTTAGAGTTTCAGAGGGTATTATCCTTAGTAATTATCTGAGAAATTAACTTTTCTACTTGCTGTTTTTGTCTTAATATATTTCTAGGAACAAATATGAAGTGATTTTTCTGTTCAAATATCGCTCTGCTGAAAATGCAATGCAAAAGAAAAGCTAATTCTCTGTCAAGCCTTCTGGATAACACCTTGACTCTTGCTTAATGTCCATCCATGAATTCTTTTATTATTCTGTGTATACATTATTAAGCATATTTAAGGCTTATATACATTAATCAATCATACCACGCTTGCCTCAACCCTGCCTCACCCAACCCCAACTTCTATCATTAAAATGACCCTCCAAACTGGCTCACTTTCAAAAGTATCTGAGGGCATTTCACCGGGCTATATCCCAAGTATTTTTACTTCTCTGACACATGGTGTCTGAGTCCCTCATTGCCTTCACTAGTGCCATGTCTTTAACCCTCAGAGAAATGCAAAAAATAAGAAATAACATTATTATTCCCACTATATAGACAGAGAAAGTGAGGTTCAGAATGATTAAATGACTGGCCCTTGGTCACACAATAAGAAAGTGGCACAGCAAGGGCTCCCCAAATTAGTTCTTCTGATTCTAAAACCAATATTGGCTTTTCAACCTCCTCTACCCTTTCCACTGCTGAAACTGAAGCATCTTACGTTGAGGGAATAAGAAGGGAAGTGCAAAGGGTAATAAGGCAGTGGTGGGAACCACTATATGTAAATGAACAGCAATTTATCAGTTTCTTTGATGACCAAATTTATTGACCCAAGCAGTCCATTTTCATCACCAGAATAAGGCACTAGGGTTCCTAGAGTCTGAGGTATCTCTGAGGGATGAGAGACTGTCTAGTTATACCATGAGCCAAAGAAGAGAGCAAGAGATGAAAATACAGTCATCATTCCTCTGGACCTCATAGCCAGAATCCCAGCTTCCTTCTAGTATTTTAGTGTGGGGCATGACTTCAAGTCCTGTAGCTTGTTTTAAAAAGACATTACTTAATGGAAAGGAATTTAACAGGAGCTTGGTTTAAATGAGCCATGAAGGAGTCTCTCTTCCTTTCTGAAGGTGGCACATGTGACTGGATTAAAATTCACTTACTTTGTGGTAACATTTTGTATTCTGGAAACTTCTAATAATCTACAAATTTGAGGCTTTGGTACAATGTATTTATGTCTTCTAATAACATTTTGTAAGAACAGGACTGACACAATTGCATATTTCACAAGTACTGCAGTTTAAAAGTATCTTTTAGCAAAATATCTCATTAAAAAACAATTATTCACAGCAGAGGGTTCTGGACAGAGCTGGAGAAGGATGTAGAGCATAATTCTAACTCACAAAAAAAAAAAAAAAAAAAAAAAAGACCAGATTTACTGGCCTAAAGGAGACTGGAGAAACCTCGAGAGTATGGCCCCCAGACATCCTTTTAGCTCAGTGGTGAAGTTATCTCCAAGGTTCACGGTTCAGCCTGGGAGTGAACAGCCCTGTAAAACCAAATGAGACTAACGAGGTACAGGAGTCCAGTGACAAGGGCCAGAAGGCAGAAGGGGACAAAGAAGCTGATGATAGGGAACCCAAGGTTGAGTAAGGATACTGTTGATGTGTTGTGAGATTGTTAACCATTGTCATAGGGCAACATTTGTAGTAACTGTTAGAAATGAGAAACTATTTTGTTCTGTAAGCCTTCATCTTAAGTGAGAATAACAGCACAATTCGAAAAGTGTAGTCAATGTCACTGAACTGTGCATGTAGAAATTTTTGAAATGGTGTATCTTTGGCTATGTGTATTTTCACCAAAAAAAAAGGTTGAGAAGTTAGAGGGTTAATATGTTGTGGGGTTGTTAACCAATGTCATAAAAGAACATGTGTACTACTGTTTCATGAGAAACTATTTGTTCCGTAAGCCTTCACCTGAAGTACAATTAAAAAAAAACAAACAAACAATTATTAACCAGTGATTATTTATTGTATTGGGTGCTTTTATTTTTCTCAATTCCAGGCAGATACCTAACCTATCTATATTGCTCCAAATTTATAATATAGCCCAGTCTAGCTTACCTCTAAGCCAAACTTTTAATGGTTTGTCTGTTCTAATCAAGCCATCATTGCTCATGCCCACTCTGACTGGCATGCATAGCTCTGTCATCTCAGCCAGCCTGTCAACTGTGAGTCACAGTGTCCTCCTAACTTAAGCACTGTACTTTCCCAGGATGGTTCTCATGGGAAAAGGAGTGATCATTCTATCCCTCTATTTTATCAAAAGCCTACAATATGGCACAGCTTTGTTCAGTTTAAAATAGTACATCTCTTGTGAGGCGCAAAGCTTTCCTTCTGCCTTTTAGGAGTAATTGTTAGTATATTACAAAACACAAATGTTCTTAAAAGCTAAACTTAAAATGCTGTTAGTACTTCAAAGACTCCTGCATTTAAGATATTGTAAAGAATGAACTTCTGAGTGGGAAACTAAATTAGAGGAGCAGGAATATAATGGTATCTGTTATGGTCAACAAGGAATAAGGTCCACAGAGCTTTCTATGTATTTATAAAATAAGACATAAACTGACACAAGTATAAATGGCTGGCAGGCACAAACTAGATATACATAGGTGGTGAGTAATAAATTCAAATAAAGGAGGTTTTTAAGTTAGATAACTCTGGAATACTAAGTTGTAAATATGGCCTCAATAACAGTCTGTTACTCTGTACGTCTGTAAATACCACATTGAATCATAGTTCACGTGGCATTTATTACATACCTAAGCTCTAAAATGGAAAAACAACTATATTGTGCTTCATGATCTCCTTTGAATTTTGTTAAAAAAAAAGAAAGAAGGAAGGAAAAATGCAGGGAAATTGCTTATCAATGGTAACTCTAAATTCAGTCAAAATATAGCTTTAAAGAAAAATGACTCTCAAGGGAGTTGCCAGGGGAGGTTAGATTTCTAAGGAACTGTCAAGGAACATGGAGAATTCCTCTTCCAGCACAGGAAGCAGCAGCACTCTTGTACTGATGCTAGCCTCCTAGGCAAGGACTCTGTGTTTGAGAAGAAAAAGTTCTGTGGTACATGGAAGAGACAGGGTTAGGGTGTCAGAGTTAAGATGACTCATCAGAAGTCCCTTCCAACCCAAATGACTCAGTCAAAAGTTATGCTTTTCATTAAGTGGAATAGACCCAGTCTGGCTCCCAAGCACATCAGTCAATGATGTTTTAGGTTTCTGAGTGTGCTGGGGTTCCCTCTCTAGCTTAAACACAGAGATAGCTACCTGTCCAAAACCATGTCCATCTGCTTCACTTTCCAACTTACTCATGCTCAAACCCTATTAATTAAAGTCTTTTGGACTAACAAGTTCAAAACATTCACAACTGATAATTGCCTCCTTTGCTTGGCTTAGGAAATGTTATTATTGTAGTGGTTTGCTCTCCCTTAAAAGCTAGCCCCTAGTTTAAAAAAAATCTGTACTCCCAAAGCAGCTTCCCTATTACTTGGTGTGAAGAATAATTGCAGAGTAATACAGTTTGATTACATGTTAAAATTTCTTTCAAGAAACTAGCTTGATTTAGTGTAACAGTAGACTGTTTTGTCTACACATAAAATTTACTGTTACTTGGCAGCAATGCAAAAATAATGACTTGTTTTTTTAAACTCCATTTGGCTGTAATAATTTGATGAAACATCTTCATCTACTGATGATTTCAGCCTCTATGAAAAACCATGCCTGTGATGTGATGATCTATTAGCCTTTAACTATAAGAATGTTTTGTGGTAGTTTTATAACTGTCTGCTGAGTGTGAGTGTTTAACTACAATATTATATTTCACCCACAAACAAAACTAGAACAGTCTCTGGCTGCTGAATGGTTTCTAATGTGGATTTTGCAAGGTGCAACAAAGAAAGAGTTAAAAATAGCTTTTAAGACAACTTAGCTGTATTTTTATGCAATAACTGTGGATTTAATCATAATTCATTTTGTTTCTCAAAAGAAAAAGTTATTTCTGAGACTTTAAAGAAAAACTTTAAAGAAAAAATTGGCTATGCTCCAAGATAGTATTTCTTAGCCAACTAAATACAATATTTAACTGTATCTTTGAATATTTAGTCTTTACCTATATTTATACATGGATTTTAAATTTAACAAAAGTCTCAAAATGAGCAAAAAATCTGAAGAAAATGTTCAGAAACACATTCTCAAAACGCTGATTTGAAGAACACAGTGCAGCTTTATCTTCAGTATAATGTTCTACATAATTTGCCTTAGGAGATTCATAAGAGATTTTCATTTTGGTGCCAAGGCTCAGACATGTCTAAAGTAATTTCACTTAAGGATTTTCTGCTCTAATAATAATAGACCAAGGGCATATATAAAACAGTTGCCTTTTTGTATACCCTTAGAGAATTTACAAGGAAGCGCTCAGAACTTGATTGTAAATGTTAGATATTACTATTTTTATTGCTAGTGTAAAAGTTCTCCTTAATTTCTTATCCAGAGTCAAACTCTTCTCAGTTCTTAAACTTTATAATTTCCCATCCTGAACACTGAGTCTGCAGTTTAAAGGTCACCCAAAGATGGCATTACACACATTAATGAACTGTTAGGTCCAACAGTGCTCTAGACCCCTTTTCCAGCTTTTCAGTCATACAATATTTCTCTGGTCTGGGTGGATATATTATTTCAAAGTCAAAATTATCCTTAAAAGAATCACTGAGAATACCAAAATGCAAGTTTTCAGTCTCAATGCAAGCATAGAACTCTGAGTTAAAGAACTGCTAGCAATAATTCCAAGGAAAAAAAGTTTCCACACCTAAAATTCATTTTGGAATCAAGCACTCTAGCGTCCTGAACTGTATCAATACTAACATTGGAGCTGTGCCATTGCAAAGTTGTTACTACTTTATTATATAATATGCCTTCATTATGTAATATGGTCCCATTTTATATGCTTAAAATTATGTCATTCATAATAAAATTAGATGTAAGGTTTTTGCTTTAGACAAACTGCCACCCACATTCAGTATGTATACACAAGTGCACACAGACATATGTCCCCTAGATCCTTCAGCTTCCTCTGAGTTATCCAAATCTCTTGTAATTCGCAGTTTCAAAACCTTCCCAGGTCCTGAAAAAGCAACTCTTTTCTTTCACTAGGGGCAGAAGATCTTTGTCTAGACAAGATTCTGTAAAACACTCCCTCTTATGGAAACCCACAAAACTTATCTCCAGCCTGTCTCTCCTAGAGGTTCAACCAGTTCTCCTGCCCGCTTTGGGCATCCAGGCTCAGCCTCCGGCAGGTAGCCCGATCGCCTCGTTCTCTAACCCGGGCGAGGAGCATCCGTGACCGCTGCAAGCCCTCGGCAGCGCCACAGTCTGGCGGCCTCTCCCACAGGCCTCCTCAGCCCTCACCCGGCGCCCTGGGGAGCACGGGGCACTTACAGCCGGCGGCCGAGACCCTCCAACGAGTGCCCAGAGGAGGGCACCGAGTAGCTCAGCAGAAACACTGCGACGCTCCACTGCTGAACCAGCCTCCGCAACATCGTATCCTTTCGCTCTCGGGACCTGCAACAGAACGGAAAGGGGTCCAAAGTGTCAGTCCAGACTCTCCATCTCCCCGCACTCCCTCCCTCCCTACTTTTAGCTGGTTCTTAAATAGCCTCTCCAACTTCAAGGGCATCTCCCAAATTGCAAAGAAAGAAAGAAAAAAACTTTCCCTGGATACTTTCTGAGCACTTACTTATTTAGGAACCAGCTACTCCAACTCTGCTTTTTCCAAACCACACAGGCAAAAAGGGACCAAAAAGAAAAGGAGAGAGAGAGAGGGAAAAAAAAGTAAGAGGCGCTTCCTCTGAAATAATAGCGAAAATGAAATGGTTTTATATATGCATCAATGATGAGTAGTGTGTTTACACGTCTCCCATAGCAATGTCTAATTAATCTGGCCGGCAGCTCTCTCGGGTTCGTGGAGCAGGGTTAGCACCCCTCTGAAAGAAGAAAAAGTTTCCCTCCTTGAAGTCAGCTTCTTTGCGAATCTGGCCTTCTGGTTCCAGAGCCCCTTGTATCAAGACCCACATATATATACATAGCTGTCTGTCTACCTCCTCGGGTGGGCTGGTTGCTTCCGGAAAGTTGATCCCACACACCCTGAGAACAAGTTTCAAGTGCGTGTGTCGTCGATCGGGAGGGCCAGGTGGCAGCAAGGGCGGGTTAATAGCGGCGCGGAGGGGCGGCGGCGGCCGGAGCGGTAGGGCAACGGGGGTCCCGCTTCACCGGCAGGGAGGTATGCTGGCCGGGCGGCGCAGGTTGGAGGCGAGTTGAAAGCCGAGCAGAGCAATGTTCACACGCTCGGAGGCAAACCTGCCAGAGAAGTGAGCGAGTCGCAAAGAGGTGGCGCCCTAGGAACGCGCGCGGGGCGAGCGACGGCGCGGGCGGGCGCGCGGGCGC